TGTTAAAGCTGAAACGTGCGCCTTTCTTTTAAAGCATTTGCCATGTTTCATTTAATTCAGTTTTGTGCTATTTCAATTATTATTGTAGACTGCAAATCACAACTTAACTCAGGAACGTTAAAACGTTAGTACATTCATATTGGGCTTCGTTTACTTACACCTTATTACATTCTTGAAATCTGGGTGTATTTTGTTTATCCATCATTGACATCAAGCAACAAAGCAGGCTGGTTTATTTAAGCTATGCTCACTAAAATTAAACCTTTAATTAATGGAGCTGTGTAGGAAATTGCTTTAAAGCAAGATAATACAGGTGCTAAGCAGCATATTACCACCAGAGGGGGACATGCAACCACAGAACAGCAAGCCTCTGAAATTCTTTGTTGTAAGATTTTTATTATAATCATTCAACATGTGTTTGTACTTAAAATAATAGTTTGTAAATGACTGAAATGATAAAAACACCCAGGTCGTCTCTAACTTTGAGTTCTAAGTAATTGGCCGGGTTTATTCTGTATTTTACCCACTGACTTGCTGGATTTGTGAGTTCAGGTGTTAAATCTGACTTCACATGGTATTTAAATTTCAGAATCAGCATAAACTCTGGAGTGGGAGGCAAGCTTACCATAAACTCCTGAAGAACTGCAGGAGTGACATTATTAACAAATGGGACATACATTTAAATACCATTCAAGACAAAGTGGATTATATTTAAAGGTTTTGTTTTACAGTTGTGACCAAAATTATTCAACCCCCAATGCTGTAAAGGGGTTTAGGGACTATAGTGTACATTTGGAATTGTATTCAGAATCAAATCCTACAAGGACGTTGTAACTACCCAAATGCAACTAAAATGAACATCAATTGTTTATGTAATACAGTAGTAAATGGTTCTTATGTGGTTTCTTCATTGCCACAATTATTCAACCCCTTAAAGACTACCACTCTGAAGAACAGAGGTTCATACAGGTGCTTTCCATCAGGTATTGAAAACACCTGTGGATGTCACCGAGCAGCAATCAAGCATAATAAGCACCAATTAGGCAGCTTTAAAATGACTGTGATACTCAGCTCCTTCTAGACATTTACTGGTGTGGTTACAAACATGGTGAAGGCAAGAGAATGGTCCAGGAAGACAAGAGAAGAGGTGATTTCTCTTCACAGGAAGGGCAATGGCTATAAGAAGATTGCAAAGATGTTAAACATACCAAGAGACACCTTAGGAAGCATCATTCGCAAATTCAAGGCAAAGGGCACTGTTGAAACGCTACCTGGTCGTGGCAGAAAGAAGATGCTGACTTCGACTGCTGTGCGCTACCTGAAGCGTAGAGTGGAGAGAAGTCCCCGTGTTGCTGAGGAACTGAGAAAAGATTTGTCAGATGTGGGTACAGAAGTTTCAGCCCAGACAATAAGACGCACATGCGTAATGAAGGCCTCCGTGCCAGAACTCCCAGGCGTACCCCCTTGCTGTCTCCAAAGAATAAGAAGAGTCGACTGCAGTATGCCAAAAGCCATGTGGACAAACCACAAAAGTTGTGGGATAGTGTTCTGTGGACTGATGAAACAAAATTAGAACTGTTTGGGCCCATGGATCAACGCTATGTTTGGAGGAGGAAGAACAAGGCCTATGATGAAAAGAACACCTTGCCTACTGTGAAGCATGGTGGAGGGTCAATCATGCTTTGGGGCTGTTTTGCTTCTGCAGGTACAGGGAAGCTTCAGCGCGTGCAAGGTACCATGAATTCTCTTCAGTACCAGGAGATATTGGATGGAAACGTGATGCAGTCCGTCACACACCTGAGGCTTGGGAGACGTTGGACCTTTCAACAGGACAATGATCCCAAGCATACCTCCAAGTCCACTAGAGCATGGTTGCAGAGGAAAGGCTGGAACATTTTGGAGTGGCCATCGCAGTCACCAGACTTAAATCCGATTGAGAACCTCTGGTGGGACTTAAAGAAAGCAGTTGCAGTGCGCAAGCCTAAGAATGTGACTGAACTGGAGGCCTTTGCCCATGAAGAATGGGCGAAGATACCCGTAGATCGCTGCAAGACACTTGTGTCAAGCTATGCTTCACGTTTAAAAGCTGTTATAACTGTAAAAGGATGCTGTACTAAGTACTAAGATTGAATGTCACTTGGGGGTTGAATAAAACTGATAATGCTGTGAGCACAGAAAAGACATTTGTGGTTATTTCATTATAACTGTTATGTTATATTTGTCTGACCTACAAGTGCCTCTTTAATGTAAATGTAAGCAAGATGACTGAATGATCAAAAGCAATGTCAAACTGGCCAAAACACTCAATTTCAGTGGGGGTTGAATAATTTTGGTCACAACTGTAGAAGAGTGCTGTTGCCTCTTAATGTTTTTTTCTCACTCTTGAACAAATGATTACTTACATTTAGTTGTGAAAGGACATACTGAATGGTTCAGTTTTCTGCACAGATGACCCAACAGTACCAAACCATACACAAATGCAAATAATTTCTGTGATCAGATGTGTGTGAGCAAGAAATGCAGTGCTGCCGAAAAATAGGGAAAACCAATTGGAAGAAATCAAATGTTTAATTTTTTCCATACAGCACACCAGTCTTATCACAACTCTCTTTACTTCATTGTCTTGTGGGAAAAAAAAATCATAATGCTTTTCATTAAATCAAAAGAAACACATTACCAGCAATATTAAGAGATCAGTCTGTGGTTATGATTAAGCTCCCTCCTTGTAATAGATAAACTTGTAGCAGTGAATGTAGTAGAGATGCACAGAAGGGTGGGCATATGGCAGGGTACATATAAACAGGATTCCAATGTGCAGGCTGTACTAAGCAGGAACACAATGCTCATGTTGGGGTGTGAAGAATGGGCAGCTGTACAACCAGTCACTTGGTGGGGACATGTGGGAATAATTCAGCAACAGAAAAATTAACCATATATCTCTATAAATAGGATGAAGTATATACATAATTTGAACCTAATTGAAAACCATAATGATTTTGGCCAGTGTTGTTTATTTTAAATTCGGTTTTAAAGTCATATTCCACATGAAACAAAATAAATGCATCCATATGGTGAAAAGAAAAATGTGCATTTATTAAATTTTAGCATTGTAAACATGATCAGTGCATCGTGGGTGCAATGCACAAGCTTCCGCAGAATATTCCTCCAGCCCTAAGTTTGTACAGAGACATGGACCTTTGGCTAATTTGCTGGAGGACATCATCAGCAGAATACAATTTCAGTGACGCAACTACACTTGAGAAGTACATGTTCTTCTGCTGCAGTCTAGTCTTCCATTCATAGATCCATGGAAAACGTATACTATATCAATTCTTTTTAAATTGGTGCAGGTTTAATGCAATTATTCTATTGCAATTATGCAATTATTTACAATTGTTTTCTATGTGCCCTGTTCCCACCATAACATTGTATTGAGGTAGGTTGTGATGCTTTGTGTAAAAATGCAGATATAATGCATTTTATGCAATGCACCACACCGCACTGCATGTCATTGTACATTGACTTGAATGAAACATCATTTTGTAAAAAAAAGAAAGTAAACAGTACAGTGTGTGCACTGGTGTAAATGACCCTGTAGCTATTTGCTTTAATACATCACTTTCTGTACCCTAAAAACACAGTACTGGGCCTGGTACTCAAGCAACCTATCATTATGCTCAGGCCATTGTCATGCTTGGCCATGAGGAATAACAGGCAAGGTATGCACTGACCACTTATTCTGTTGGCTTTTTACTGCATACGTTAATAGCACTTATTGTAACAGGTTCACTTTAAAGTGTTCACGAGTCTCCTAAGCCAGCAGTTTTTTGTTGAGTCAAGTAAAGAGATAATTCTGTATGGCCACCTCTGATGGCCCAGAATGAAAGATTATTTATGATATATTTAAGCAAATGTAAACCAATTTCTAATTAGCCATATTGCTTTTGCAAGAGTGTATACACTGAGGAACTAAAACAGATTAAAAAAAAATCTGCTACTTTTAAATGACGTGTTTCTTCATACTGAAGGTACTACATGAATGGTAATAAAACCTATGAATTAGGACTTGCCAGTAGAACTTGGAAAATAACAATGGTCCCATTTTTTAGAAGATATCAATATATTACATGAAGTAAGATAATAGTGGGTACACAGTTTGTTACACTGTGCTCTTGGAAGTTTACCCAGCATGGTGTCAAAGTATGTATGCCACATTTATCAGTACAGCATGATGCTGGCTGGAAAAAAAGGGACTGAATGATCAAAAATAATTCCTTCAAGAGGAAAAATTTGCAATTTTCTGTATGAATTATCACAAATCACAAGTGGTTGTACATGGTGTGCTGCGTGTGATGAAATACTCGCATTGGGTTTGCTTTTGTCTTGGATTAAGTGGGGAAGGTTTTTCACTGCTGTATGTGTCCCCACTGAGGTAATTTCCCTTCACGTTCTGTCATTGTGACAGGATCAGAGGGACAGGAAGTGATAGAGAACATCTCCAGTGTGGGCAGAGGCAGCAATTAGAACACTTTTAGTGGAAATCGGAAGCTTTAGAATTTCTTTGAGGTTTGTTTTTCTGCCTGTCTTCTTTTTCTGGTGAGCCTCATTACTCTTATTTCTTATGTGTCAGAAGAATACAAATTGCTTGTAAATCTCTGATTTGGGGACACAGAAAGCTCTACAGAAGTTCTCCTCTTTCCCCACCCTATTAATGTTAGAAAATAAATATTAGAGTCAGCTGAAATGTTTTGTCATCATATCTTCAGTGTTTGCTTTTAATTTGGTGTCTCTGGTGTTTTAAATTACAGTGATCAGACATACAGTTTTGAATTTTTTATGTTGGAAGTTTTGATTTAGAAATGCTTTTAACTGTCATTAGAATTTTGTTGAGTAACCTGCATCAAATTGTTTTCATGAAACACAGCACAGTCGAACATAGTTTTTACAGGTATTCTCAATTTGCTGCTTGAATAACAAACATTTTAATACTTCTATTTTAGGTAAAGAAGAAGAATTTCCCAGAAAGCCACTGGGTCAGATTCCTCCTGAACCGCCACCAGTACACATGAATCATATTATGAATGGGCAAAAGAATATTAGCAAGTTTCCATCTCAAGTAAAACCTGAGAAAGTACCATCTTCGAACAAACCTCAGCAAGTGTCACCAACTGGAGAAAGGAGAATGAAGAATTCCACGGAAAAGTCTATCATGAAGTCATCAAAAAGAGGAGCTGCTGATTTCCGTGCAGATCAACCTAAACAAGATCAGCATTATAAGAAGTTCCCACAGCCCAGTACTTTGTCGCAGGACAAAATGAAGTACTATGATCATGCTGCTGCTAACCAAAACTCAAATGCAACTTCCAGTGCATCTAAAGAAATCACTCCGAAATGGAACTTACCTTCAGAGTCTAGAAATAAAGAGCTTCTTCTGAAGCACATGGGAGAAGCAAAGGCAAACCCACCAGACTATAATGTTGCAGTCCAAGCTGATACTCGCATTGTGACTGCTAAGCACAGGAATAGGGTTGCTGATATGGGAAATAAACGTGGGTCAAATGCATCTCAGTATGACAATGTTTCTGGAGGTGAAAATGAAAATGACAATCAGGTTGAAAATTCTAGGCATTCAGCAGATTTGTCCCCTCCAAGGAATGCAATGTACAACAGTGCTACTTCCTCACGGCATCCTTCTAAAGGCTCCAGTCCAGCTAGGTTAATTGAGAATAATTCGGGAATCATGCATATACGTTCTCCACTATATCAGGGTACTGATGATGGGTACAGTCAAAAGCAAACTCCACCACCATACTACAGCAGTCCTCCTCTTTATCCAGATAGTCCTAAATATACAATGAGCCGTCTGAACAGTGAACCTCATTCACCAGTAAACTGGTCTAGTCCATCCAGTAAATCTTATGGGTATAGCATTGATGTTCCTCCTGATAAAATACCAGTCAATTCAAGCATTAGACAAAACCCTGTTATGTCACCCTCTAGTAGAATTGAGGTCCTGCCTGCAGATGAAAATGCCACTCTGCGTTTAGGCAATTTTAACAGTAAAGAGAAACAAAAGTACATTCTTCCACCAGTAGACTATGTTGTGGACCATTCGTTCTTGCCTGATTTATCCTTTCAGACATTTGGACAGCCCGTAAACAAAGAAGCCTCAAGAAATTATTTGTCAAGTATACAGAGATTTCCAGACTTGCAGCAACCTGCAAGTCCAGTCAACAGTTTTTCATCTTTGTCGGTTAATAGTTCAGTAAGGCCAAGAACTTCTCCACAAGGTGATCATGGAAACCCACCACACTATCTTCATTCCAAATCTGGAGTCACTCCGGTCCATCGAAATCGTCGTGATGGTATAATAATGCACGAATCTGTGATGTTGTGAACAGCAAACTCAATCTGGTTGCCTGGAGACAGCCTATTTCATTGTCTTTGAAAGAACAATTTAGACAAATCTTTGGGTTGTGTTAGAGATTCTGAAATAGAAAATCACAGAGTAACACCAACATGCAGGCTTTGTTAAAATATGCATGGGTGTAATGGTTTCTAGACTTTAGGTTCTACGGTCTAGAATCCTAAAAATGTAGCTTTTTTTTGTACATACTATTTTGAAATATTTATTAAAATTCTAGCTACAGTACATTAGTGCCTGAACCTAGCCTAATCTGTTTGCTATCGGTATAATATTTTAGTTGTTTCAAGGTTTTTGATACATAAAGGTTTGGAAACTTCTATGAAAAAGTGTTTTAATGTAAGAATGCAGCTGGGAGCAGGCTGAAAATATTTATTGCACCAATAGTGGCATTCAAAGTAATGTATGGAATCCTAAAGTTCTCTCTACTGGTCTCTATTAATACCTTTTTAGTTTTTCCTATATCCATATAGTACTGATATATTATGCAGGACTCTAAACTACATTAAGCTATTCTTAAAAAACCTCTCCCCATAGCTATTTATAATTCAATACCCCTCATTTGGTCATACCTGCATACCAAGCATGCAGGAGCCAGTGTAGTCAGCAGCCACTTAACCTTTCACTGTTTTTGAGGAGTACTGTTGAAGGAAGCACTCAGTATAGACCGATGAGTGATACTGTGTGTATCCTTACATACGTTCCGCTTTTACTGGCTGCATTCAGCAGTAGGCAGGCTAGACTTGCCTATTAAATTTCCGATCATCTTCTTTTGATTCCTCTGCTCTGAAGTTTAGATATTTGCTGACTGAAATTAAGTTTATTTAATTATCTGTTTTGTCTTTAATAGGGCAGCTAAAGTGCTGTAAATATGGGAGTGTTTTATTTCAGTAAATTAACCTGGTCTTCAGCTCATTATAGTATGACATGATTTTTGCAGAGTTCTGTAATGCACTTGTCAAACTTTCAGTGCTACATGTTTCCACATTAGCTGCTATAGATTCTTCCCAGGTTATTTTAGATTTAATGGTGTCTTCCAACAGCTCCAGCCTGCTCATGCCGTAAAATTCTTTATTGTAACCATTTGACACTATGCACTTTAGCAATATTGATTTTGAAAGTGCTGTACCAGCTGTGAGATGTAGGTGTTGAGTGCATCCCATGCAAAAACAAAAGCTAATGCAATAAGGTCAGAGCATCTAAATTAAAATCAGAACATACCCAAATGACTGCAGATTGAGCGCATTTCCCCTAACTCGTTTATACATAACAAACAAGCCTTTCAAAATAATGGTATTATTATTAAGCTTTTAGTGAGTGCTAGTGCTGAAAAGTAACAGAAACTATTAGGATCCAGTACAGATTTTGAAAACATCTAGCAGCTCGTTTATAAACTAAATGAGAGTGCTGCATTGATTCTATGAATTGGTAAGTAGGCATCTTTGATTGTATTCCAAGAAAAAGACAAGCATGCACTTCTAGTAGCAGTGAGAGCCTGGCCTGGGCAACTGTTAACCAACAGGGACACATGCCTTTAAAAGTTTCTGCAGCATTCCTTTAATACTGTGCATGGTGCCTTCTTTACAGATACCTCTGGTCCACTTCATTAGACCCTAGTGTTCACCATTGTTTGTGATGCTTACTACTTCTTCCTAGATTACTGGCCTTGTATGTTTTCCTACAGATACCTTGTAGTTGCAGTGTTTACATGAGCTCTATTGAGTTGAACTTCAAATGTGTATTCGAGTAATTCTTCCAATAATCACACCATTTTCATCTTTCTGTATTTTCTAACATCCTCCTTCAACAACATAACACTTTCCAATTGCTTACTGAATGGGTAAACATTACACAGAAAGTGCTGTTTTTTTATTCATTTCCTTCCATGCTTAGCGTCAAACCTCTCCCCTTCTTCAATAATCATGCACTCTCCTCCAGCAGCATGTCTTTAACTATGTGCCTTGGCTTTTAATGGCTTAATGTCTGCTGTTTTATCATTACACGATCACACCTTTTATGAACCGATGCATTGTGTGCTGAAATGACACTAATAGTTAAGAGAAGGCAAATCAATTTGAATTGTCTGCTTTATTTCCAAGTGCCAGTGTGAGTGGGTTTTTAGCTACTTCTTGATTGACACATTTTTCATTGATTTTTCTCTTTCTTGCTCCTTCTTTTCCTCCTTTTTACTTTTCTAGAAAAAAAGTATAATTTTAGTCATTTCAGCTTTCACATAACAGCGTCACAAACCAAAGTAGCAATGCACTGCCTTGCCTAGCAGGGAAACCACAGAAAACCTTAATTGCATACATGTGTTAATATTGCTTTTCAAATTTAACAATAGCTTCACTTTTACCCTTTTCTGGCAGACTTGATGATGTGAATCAGGGTAGAAAATGTATGAGTTTTGTAAACAGTGGTTGTTGCATACATTTTTTGCTTCTAATTGGGCATGCTCCTAAAGTTTTCAGTGTGCCCCTTGTTAAATAATCAGATTTGGTTGTGCCATATGGGAACTACAGATGCCTGCTCTGACGTTTGACAAACATAGCGGCATAGTTTATTTTTCAGGTCATAAACACAGCATCGGTATCCATGTCTGGAACAATGAAAGTGAACATGGGAACTAATGTTAGTGGCTAATAGGCTTGTCATGCTTCTAAACCACGCTTGTTCAGCCTTTAACCAACAAAGTAACAATGCAAAGTAACAGGGTTATTACCATTAGCAGCCCCACATTGCGCACCTTGGTTTTGGTGCTTATCAAGGGCTTACTGATTTGATATGCATGTGTGTATATATAAGAATGATTATAGTAAGGACCACATTTGCAAGGAAACCTTGAGCAACGCCAGCCATTACATAACTTTGTACTGTTGAGTTGACAAGGATTTAACCTCAATTCATTCAAAAGATGGCACATCTGTAGATTATAGTAAGGGCCATATTGTGCAGGGAAACCTTGACACTGGTGTGTGGCATACTTGTATATTTAAGATTGTATTAGGGACCACACTATGCAGGGGAAGCTTGAGGTTGGTGTGTTGCTTACTTGTATATTAAAGTGTATACATCTGTAGACTGTATTAGGGCCCTCGCTGTGCAGAGGAACCTTGACATTAATATGTGGCATACCCATATATTTTTAAATATATACAAACACACCTCCAACAGCATAGTTATTTTGGAAGTTGACCTGATTAAGTGCCAAGGTACATTTTTGTATTTTGTCAAAAGTTTCAGCAGGCATAACATAAACTATGTTCATTTACCAAATTTACTATTTAACTCCCCTCAGTGTCAGATTTGTCAGACATTTTGTGTTATGGTTCATGTTGGATTATGCAAATTGTGTTCTTGAGTAACATGGTACAAATAAAATAAATATGTTAAAGATTCCACATAGCTTTGCAGTAGTAATGTCTACAAGATGTGATATCTGTATATGATGGGTTTTTATTTTAATCCTAACAATGAATGTGTTAGCCAGTTAGCTGAACACTACACTGAAACAAGTTACAGAATTAATTTTTTTAATCTATTACCAGTTTGCTTTGTTGCTGACTGTCCCAATTAATAAAAAAAAAAAAAAGCAAAAAAAAAAACAAATCGGTGTGCTTATTATGTACATACAATGGCACTGTGTACACGTACTAACTGCGGATCTGTTATTCCTAATGAAGCTGTGCAGTATACTGTTTTGGGCCATTAACAGCTCTAAAATATGTATCAGCAATGTCAAATATTGTAGATTGAATGTACAAATATATACACAATATTTTCATATGTCATCATTCTACAGTTTTTAACTGTTCTTTTTAATGTGACTGTATTTTTTAACATGTTAAAATGAACATTAATAAGTACAAAAGGACTGTGTCTTTTATTTGGATATCATATAGATTTTGAGTTTTTAGTAAGGGGGGAAAAAATCTTTTCTTTTTAGGGGTAATTTGACAGTGGAATGTGGTCACTTGGTGCTCTAGAAGAGTTTGACTGTAAAATAATGCCAATATGACCTTTGAACACAATAGCTGCCTTTCCGTGAAGAAAGTTTCTACATTCTAGATCTCCTGAATGTAGATTTATGGTTGTCCAAATACTTTTAATGAGAACCTATTAGCATTTTTAATGTATTTAAAATTTTTAATGTAAAGAAAAAGAAATCATGCTTAAAGAATATGTAAACTCAGCATTTCATATTCATGATCTGTGCCTGCTGTACATGTACTTGTATGAAAACGTATCCTTTTCTCTTTGTATTGCTTTCTTTGTGTGAAAACCGCTGTGGTCAGTTCTATAGCTGTGCTGGGAATGTCCTGTGCTCTCCTTCAATGATCATACTTGTCCTGACCCCCCATGCACAGTCTTTCACTGGGAAGTTCAGTGTACTTTTGCTTCTCCTCCCCCAGCTCTTATGCAGCCGAGAACAGATAGCATGTGGTCCCTTGAAGGGAAAAAAAGGTACCGTATTTATGTTTTTTTTTTTTATAGATCTATACACAAATGTTTTGCCTTTCATTTTTGTTTTAAATCAAATGGGTTTCACTTGGTGATCAATTTCACTCACTTTATGGGCATATGCCAATCCCTACCGTTGCCTTCATTAAGAAATCTTTCCGCCTATGTATCAGGGAAGTCACTTTACTAGGTGCCTGACTTCCCTGAACGTAGAACTAGGCCATGCCATCTGCCTTCCGTAGTCTAATCATAGCACCCTTATTGCCGCCTGATGCATCTGTATTGGTCAAGAATGGCAATTGGCAGGCCCCCTGAACTCAGGTAAATGAGGTCTCAAACACACAAGTGAAACTAGTTCAAAGTCACGAGTGAGTTTTCTCATGTCTGCTCTTAACAAGAGCTTTAAAATGCTTGAAGTGACTAACAGATTTTCTTTAAGGTGAATAGACCAGGCTACCATGCTCAACTTGAACACATTCTCATGCAGCAGTATCTATAGTGATGATATATAT